CGTTTTTTTTCCCAGCCCAAAATTTATTAAAGTTTCCCCCCCCCCCCCCAATAGGTTTTTACATTTAGACCCAATCCCCCGTAACCGAAACCCCCCGGGGGAATAGACCCCCCCCCTTTTTCCAACCCGTACCCCAACCCCTCCTGAAAAATAGGGGCCATGGGCCCCCCCCCCCCCTCTACCTCCCCCAGAGGATGAGGGTACAGTCCAAAGTAAGCACAAGCTTACCTAAGGTTAATGCCTATTGGTACGGCATTAAAAAAATATACTAAAGTCCCCCATTGGGCGGTGGAGGACTTAGAGCTAAGACACCCCAAAACTCTCCGGCGTGAGATCCAAAATGGATCGGACGATGGAGGGGGGGGGGGTGCTCGTTGCTTGAAGTGGACCAATATAACACAGAGCCATCCAAGCAAAGCTTATTACTCACCTGAACGACCTGACCAACCACGCAAAAACTGCGGAGCTAGATGTGCGGCACGCACAATGAATTGTTTTCGATTGGAGAGAGGCGAGTACAAAGCAGTAAGGAATTGTTGGCCAAACTTTCGGCAGATAGGTCTACTCGGGAGCGTAAGTGGGGTAGCAACCCATGGTGGAGCGTACATGAGAAGCTGGACGTTGTTAGTACGATCCATCCCGGCGTGTGAGTAGGATCTTAGGCTATGCAAGTCGTCCCTGAACTTATTGTGGTGAAAATGACCTCCCAGGAGGAAAGTAGCCTGTACCGCGGGAATTCGGAGATGACAAATTGGGTGGTCGGGGGACGTCTGGGTGTTTACTAAGCAGAACGCCCGGCACAAGACTGGGGTACTTGTGCCAGGAGGTGTGAACTTGGATCTAGACTACGAGCCCATGTTGGAGGCGCTATTTAGCGTCGGTGAGCCGGCAAAAGAACTGAAAGGAACCACAACCCCCACCGGACACTCGGATTGGGAAGGCCGAGTATTCCGTATACCTTCCTGAAAAAACACGAAAAACAAGTGGCCGAGGTCCAGTTGCTGTAGAGATCATGAGGATGGTGAAGAAGCCGGGAGGATGGAAGCAGAAACTGTGGCAGGGAGACAGGTTGGAGCTGCTGCTGTTTGGAATTCCAAGGGACATGACGAGGATAGAGTTCAAGAACTGGTGTGACACGGAGGGACTGCATTGCCTAGCAAGGGGAGAAGTAGGCAGAGAGCATGAACACTTCCGGGTGAAATTGACCAAGGGAGACAGCCAAGAGTGCTTGGGGGTCGACATCGAGAAGCTGTCGAACTACGTAAGGAAGGTTGGATGGAGGGTTTGCGTCGCGAACATGATAGGAACAGAGAAGGTAAGGTGACAGGAGGCGAGGGCGATAGAGGCGAAGAAGAGACCGGGCGGGGGAGACGAGCAGGCAAATCAGAAGAACGCCGAGAAGAAGCGGAAGGCGAAGGATAGAGTGCGCAAAATCTCCAATAGGGAAAAGCACAAGCTGAGAGTGGGGTCGTGGAACGTGTGCGGGTTCGCAAGGAGTGAGCGCAAGCGGTTAGAAATAGTGGACCAAGTAGAACAAAGCGATCTGGATGTAGTGGGGATCCAAGAGACGTGGGAACTGAAGGATGGGGACGTGGTAAGCAAAATAGGGAAGTACCGGTGGGTAGGGAAGGCAAGAAAGGGCTTAGACCCGAAGAAAAGGGGGGAGGGGGGAGTCGGATTCCTGGTCAAGGAACACTTGTATGACGTGGTGGAAGTAGTGGTGAAAACGGAGTTCGAGGAAAGCCTATGGCTTAAGATACCTGGGGAGCGGGGTGAGAAAGATTTGTTTCTAGGGAACGTATACGTCCCACCGTCGTCGAAGAAAGTCGCAAGCAAGGCGCAGGAGAACTTCGGACAAATTGGGGAAGATGTCCAGAGGTTCAGTAGGAAGGGAGAAGTTGTCATGGTGGGCGATTTCAACTCCAGAGTAGGGAAAGCTTGCAGTAGAGGACAGGCGATCGGGCAGCACGGAGAAGACAAAGTGAATGACAACGGAGTGAGGATGCTTGAATTCTTGGGAAGCAACGAGCTGATGGTGTTGAACGGTAGGAGGGAAAGCGATAAGCCAGAGTTCACCAGGCAGAGGGCAGTTTGCAATGAATACTCGATCCTCGACTACATCCTGGTAGATAGGGGGAGCACACAGGTCCCGGAGCTGCACGTAAGTGCGATAGATATAGGTTCGACCGACCATTTCCTCATATGGGCAAACATCGACCGATCTAGAAAGACGGAGAGTAAGAAAAAGAGGAAAGTGTTCCGGTGGAAAGTAGAGCGTTTGGGAGACGAGGGGACACGCGATGAATTCCAGAAGGGATTGGCTGGTAATAGTGTAGAACCCTTCAGGAAACTGCTGAGAAGCGTCGAAGACGGAAAGGTAGACGTACAAGCAGCAGGGGACAGGGTGATTGAAGGATGGGAGTCCATAGTGAACACAACGGCAGAGAGAGTAGTGGGAAAGAAGGTGGTACGATGTGGGGTATCGGTTAAGTGGTGGGATGACGAGCTGAAAGAAGAAATAGGGGAACGTAGAGAAGTCTTCAAGCAGTACCTGGGTGAGGGGTCTGAAGAGAGTTGGGAAAAGTACAGGGCCAAGAGGAAACAGGTGAAGGGACTAGTGAAAAAGAAGAAAAAGAGCATTTGGGACGAGGTAGTGCAGAAGGCCAACGGAGGCCTGGAGGGGAACGTCAAGCAGATGTGGGAAGGGATTAGTGGGATGGTAAAAAAGACCGCGCAAGGGGGGGATACAGGGGTAGCAACATTGCGAGGTGTGA